TTTAAAAGTATGGTATAAGTTAATATATGTCATGAAGAGCAAGAAATACTCAAAAGATGTTAAGAGGATATTAGTACCAGTGTTTCAATCAGTGAAGCAAAGATAAAATCTCCAACAAATGGGGTTGGGAACTATTTACTAGATATTTGGAAACAAATATAGTCATGTCTACACTTCATACCTTTTATCAGGACAAATAAAATTCCAAAATCATCAGATACAACATTTATAAAGTAAAAGCATAAAAGTCTTAGAAAAGCCTTGAGAAAATGCTTTTATAACTTTGAAATGGATAAACCTTTCAAATTGACTTAAAATCCATACTGTGAAATAAAATATCAATTGAATTACATACAAAGACATATCACCATGAGAATATCACCACCAGCATTGCCAAAAGTCAAACAGAAAATCAGGACAAGATCTATAATCATATCCTGCACAAAATTCGTTTTCTAATATAAGAAATACTCCTGGCCAGGTGAGAAAATAACAAAAATAATGAACAACCATATACCAGAGACATTTTGTGGGGGTGGAGTGGGGAATGGGATCAAAAACAGGGGTGGGGGCGAGAGAAATGCATGGGATTATGGTGATGGCACACGGGTGATTTGGTGATGGGAAACCCACGGTACAAAATGATGTAAAAATAAACTTTTGTAATTAAAAAAAAAGGGTAAAAAAAGAAAAAAAGAAATACTCCTAAAAGTCAATAAAAACAAACACTACAAAAGTAAAATGGGCAATAGAGAGTTTGTAAAAAATACAGACCACTTTAAGTATGTGAAAAAATTCTAAAACCTACAGAGAAAGTTAAGAATGTACTGAGATGCTATATTCACCTCAGGCTGCCAGAAACTTGATAACATACCTTGTTGATTTGCAAGCACTATCGTCTGCTGCTATGGAAGTATAAGTTGTTCCATCTCAAAGGAGTCCAAAGAGGGATGTTTGGTAACATTACAATTTTTACTTCCTGATTCAGATAGTTCATTTCTAGATAATGTTTCCAATTCGCTCACATGTGCGCACACTGTCACATGTACAAGCATATCTGGTGGCCGAATGGTTTTTGATCATACAATACTGTAAACATCCCAATATTCACCAATAAATTTGGGGGCAGATTATACAGCCATAAAAAAAAATAACTAGCAGATGCTTTATTTGTCAAGACAAAGATCTCTAGTATGCATTAAGCGGGGGAAATAAGGTAAACAATTGCATATAGTAAGCTCCCACTTCGTTTAAGGGGGGGAAGTATGAAATATAAATGCACATTTTCAAACTTATGTATAAAATGTGACCGAGAGAGAAACACAAGGAATGAATTAAGCAATTTACCTATAGGAAGAGAGAAGTATGTTTGGAGACCGGAGACAGGAGAGAGAACATTTACTATATGTCCTTTATATTTTGAGTATTTTATGAAACCATGAAGGTATTCCCTATTGAAAAAAAATGGAAGCTATTAATAGCTCAATTTAATAAGTAAAGGCTATATATAAACAGAGGAAAGGATTTTGCTGCATTTTTCCCAAGTTGAAAAAAATGACCTCTTTAAAATATGCCCAGGTCTCCTAAATGCCCTGACCTTGTATTTGAGGACAGAGCACATAGGGATTAGCATGTAAGCAGACGTCTCTCTTCACCAAGTCTGGTGAGTACCTGCTAGGTGCCTGGCTGTGACCTGAGCACACGGGAATGGATTCTCAGGAGGGAGAAACATGGCTGGCCCTGCCCTACAAGCTGGGCCTCAGGGCTAACAAAGTGGAGAAGTTGTTCCCAAACCCCCCAGGGAACAGGCAGAACTGACCACCAGCAGGCAGGAGGCCATGGGGCAGGAACCGGAAGTAGTAGTCAGGAGCCCCAGGCAACAGTATTGGAAGGAGAAGCAGGAAACAATGAGGGGAGCAGGGCCCTCCCAGCTGTGCAGCAAGCAGAATCCTGCTGCTTTCTTACAGCAGTCTCAGTGGGGAAGGACAGGATGTCTCCCCTCTTTTCCTCTGCCTGAGCCTGCACAGGCCTGGGCTCCCTGAGCTCTCCCATCCCTGAAACTAAACTCAAAGTTCAGGACCAGACCAGGTTGGTCCCAGCCAGACTAGTATTTCTTTTCTTAATGAGACTGAAGATCCCCAAACGGTGGTCTAGGAGTGGCCCTTCCAGCTCCTCATGGCCTCTCATCTGCTTCGACCTTTCCTGTGACATAGGAAAGGATCATAAGTCACCATCTCTTCCATGGGACTTGGTTTCTTGGCGTTATTCAGAGAAATAGAGACCCCAGCAGGGACTCTGAGGCAGTCACTAATGGACTTAAACATCTGTGCAGGACTGTGGGAAGAAATGTTTTGGCCTGGGGCTCTCGGGGCCACACTGATGGGGCAGCTGTGTGAGGCCTGCAGAACAGGTTTGGCCATGGTGCCCCTCCCCCACGCCCTGCCCCCCAGCAACTTATTCTCCTAAGGAGAAGGGGAGGCAAGAAGCAAAGGGATGTTGGGCATCTGGGGGCAGGGCAGGTAAAGACAAGCCAGAGGTGAGGAGAAATGAGACTTCCCACCTTCTCTTGTTCAGTGGGAACCCTGTTCAGAAAGAAAGGCTGAGTCTGGTGTGCAGGAAATGCTGAGTCAGAATTCTCAGACCAAGGTCAAGGTCAAGGTCAAGGCTGACTTGTAATCTTCTGAATCTGATCCACTCGTACAAAGTAGAATGTGTCCTTCCTGTAACACAACAAAAGTTTTCAAAGAGAGTGCCCAGAGGGTAGCATGTGGGGTCCTTTATAATTTGGGGTAGAGGGCTTGGCAGGGAAAGTTCACCAAAATGAAGGCAAGAAGGCAGAAGGCCGTGGCCCATCTTGGCAGGAAAATACCCGCCTTCAGCCTTCAGAGCAGGAGACCTGCCCTCTGGCCCCAGGCCCCCCAGCCCTCCTCATCACCTTCCAGAGATCACTTCTCTTCTCCCGCCTTCCATTTCTCTACTTCTGTCCTGGTGGTAATGGAGTGTGCTCCTCCTACTGCTCAGTGGGGTTCAGAACACGAATGTGGTTTGTAAACCACCAGGCACTTTCCACATATTATGGCTATTGTGGTTAGTCCATGAGTGTTGCCATGGTGAGCCTTGTGCTGTTTGTGTGGGTCTTAGAAAGAGGACCCTGATTTTGGGACATGCAGAGGCCTGTAGCTCAGCCTCTCAAAGATTGGCAGGTAAGCAGACTCCTAATGAAGGAAGTGGGTGACAGTGTTAAAGAGGTGCTGCTTTCCTAAGAAGCTAAAGCCACTTCCACATGAGTTCAATCCCCACCTGCCCCAGAGGAAATCCACATGGTGAGGCAGACCTCTCCTGACCTGCCCGCTGCTCCCCTCAGCAGTGTACTTCATCTATCTGCCTGTTCTGTTCCCAGCTCTGTCTCTGGTGAATCCTCTCACCCTCCGCATCTCTGTCCTGTACCCCACTTCTATGTGAATAAATAAATAAAATCTTTAAAAAAAAAAAAAAGAGGTGCTGCTTTCACACCTGTCAGCTCATGAACCTCCAAGCAGGCAGGTGGCAGCCCAATTCTAGAGCTATGATAACTAATCTACTAATGACTTTATCAGGGCTGTGCCACCCTGATTTCCTGCGCCCAGCCTTGTATTCAGCTCACTGCCTCCCAGCCAAATTTGAGGCTTGACCACACACAGTGGACAGGATGGGGGGCTGGGGAGCCCCCAGTCCCAGTGACGCTGCCTGGTCAGACTCACTAGCATTTGCTTAGAGCAGCACATTTTATGTGCTTGCTTTTTTCTCAACAAGTCTCAGCTGCAAGCAGAAATGGGGCTGGGGGCAAGGCAGGAAGGTCCTAAAGGGCTTCCTGCCCCACCTTTGCACTCAAGCCTGGATTCCTGGTGGTGGCTGGGATTCAAGTCCAGACACCAGCAGGCATGTGTGAGAGGCCCCTCTTGCTCTGTGTGCAGGAAAATGGGCCTTCTTTGCAAGACCCCACCCAGACTAGCTGCAGAGGGAGACCTCCATTCGACCCCATCCTTCTATGGGGCAGGTCTGGGGTTTGCAGACTAGATTGATAGGGGAATTCTTATCCAGAATTCCAGGATACCAAACAGGGTTGCACTGGTTGAGGACAGAATGCCCCCATGGCCCTCACTGCCTGCCCAGAACCCTCTAGGCTTTGTAGGTACAGGTTATTACAGCACATAATTCTCCCTCAGGTCTTTCCCCCATTCAACGTTCTTGTTCCAGAAGACTAATCCTGCTATGTTCATGTTCATGCAGGCAGGGCCCTGTTGCTCTCAGATGAATTTATAAACCCCTCTTTCTGACATTCTAGACTCTTTGTGATTGTTTTCAACTCATCCGTCTTGCCTCATGTCATGGAAACCCAGTGTTCTAGTCTTTTGCATTTCCTGTATTGCCCCCCCCCCCAACTCCCTATTCTGATCATGGTCTATCCAAACCTTACCTTCTGGTCAAGCTTCTCATGAGAGTCACTGTTTCCTGGAAGTTGTCTCTGCCAGTGTTGTCCCCCTGAAACCCAATAGCTCATAGAGTCAGTGTCCTTTAGAGTAGCACCTCATTCTAACATCAGATGGTTTTATTTGATTTGGTAATGTCAGTCCTGCCCCTCCAGCCAATCTTCATGGCTAACTCATGAAGGAAAGAGGATAAGTTGCTTCTTTCTCTGGTTTCAAGGTCCAAATAATGACTTTCAGCGCAGAGTAGAGCATCAATAACAGCTGTTCTCTTTGAGCTGTTAAATCACAGCAGTCTTGAGATATTCCCAGAGTTTCAGAAGTTCTTCCTGCATCTGGGGCAAATGGAGGCCCCTTTGGGAGCTGAACAACATGAGAGAGCAACTTGGCTGAGAGTGGGTGTAGGTAGCTAGACCACTTAAAGACCTTCCTTTCTATAGCAAGTTTCTCCAACATGTGCACATCTCTCAATCTCAAGAAGACCATGTTGGGATGTGTGAAGCGTTAATCATGTGGTTCTGGGCTGCCTTGCAGGGATTTGAAACTGGACAACATCCTTCTGGATGCAGAAGGTCACTGTAAGCTGGCTGACTTCGGGATGTGCAAGGAGGGCATTATGAACGGCGTGACAACCACCACCTTCTGTGGGACTCCTGACTACATTGCTCCTGAGGTAAAACCATGTTCAAAAGGTCACCTCCTGCTGGGGATGAAGCTGAGACAGGGTCCATCCCCATGCTCTGGGACATCTGGTGGTCCTAGATCAATTCCAGGGGGGAGGGAGAAAAGGGAAAGGGAGAGACTTGCTGATTTATCCATAAAAATGTGGTGATGGGGGAGATGATGGGTGAGTTGAGTGTAACTGGCTATTCCCTAAATCTGGACAGAGCTTCTCTGAACATGACTCTTTAATCCCAACTCGGAACTACGAAGGAGATGAGGACCAAGAGAGAAATGTGTTAACTTGTATCATAGATTTCACTTCTTAATCACCATAAAGGAGCACTGACTCAAGGTGGCAATTAACTTTATCACCTAGTTTGCTTATAGTAGAAGCTGGCATCATTCACCATCTCCAGTGTAGTAGTGAGGCTTCATAATGAGCGCACAGGATGGGGGCAGGAAGAGGAGCGTAGCTGTGCCGCATTATGAATGGAGATCAGAGAAGGCCACTGTGACCCTCACCAATGGATTATCTTTGGTCACAGTAGTTCGGACCTTTTGTTCATGATCAAGTATTTGTTTGCTTTGAGTTTGTCCGAGTCAGTCTTGCCCAAGCCAAGAGATATGATATGTGAGATATGATTCATATTCAAGACACGATCTATCATAGATTCTTAGTAAAAATGGTCTTGTGGCTTCTGACACATGTAAGATGGGAAGGAAGTGCCAGTCACCCATGGAGGCTAAGCATTAGTTAACACATTCAGATTTCATTTCTTTTCAGTGGGCACTGTTTGAGCACCTGCTAGACACAAAACCATGTGAGGATAAGGAATTGACTTAGCACTGGCCATTCTCCTAAAAGAATTTTTGTGTTTAGAGGGAAGGACAGATAAGTAAACAACCAATTAAGCAGAATAAATAGATACTCAAAGCAAGATGATATCCTCAGGGATCAGGGAAGCCTTTTTGGAGCACCTGGTGAATGAATTGAGTTGTAAAGAATAAGCAGGATTTCCTTTGGAGGTAGGGTGGGGAGCATTCCTGAAAACAACACAGAGGAGGCTTGGGGAGGAGGTTCAGTAACTCTGGGCCCTGAGTCCTTAGGGCAGGGGCTATCTTTCTAATGTGGGTACTCCCTAGATCTAATGCTTAAAGCAGACTCTTAGTAGTGGTTTGTTGATTGATTGAATAAATGAATGAGAACTTGTGACACTCCAGCATGAGGAAAGACCAAGGTATGAGAATATTGTTGGCCATTTTTAGAAAAGGAAAAGTTTAGCTAAAACATTGGATTTCTTACTGCTTATAGTAATGAAGGGATTGAGAAAAGGGATGAAGAAATGTGACCTTCATCCTGCAGGAATTTTAGGCCCACTAAGGGTTTCCAAGTCAGGGGGAATCATAATCAAGCCTGAGCCAGGAAGAAGACAGGCGGGGTGGATGATAAGTTGCAGTGCATGAAGTGAGAAGTTCGAGAGGGTGGTGAGAGTCTTTTCTCAGATCAGATGAGGCATGGCTGTAAGAGCGATGAGTAGTAAGTACATTCTTTATAGAATCTTTATTTTCTGAGAGGTCTAGAGAGTAGATTTCGGTCCATCTCTACTCGTACATTCTCTAAGTAATTTAACCTTCAGTGAGAAATCAGTGAAAGTGAAGACTTCATTGGCACCTGCTTTTTCACCATTTTCCTCATTGATTCTTTGGCACCAAAATCCAATCCTTCTATGTATCAAGGTGTTGACAGTCAAGTGTAGCAGCTAAGGACCCAGCCCAAGACCAACATTCACTTCATGATGAAAAAACTCCCACATCACTGACATAAAGATGGTCCATTGGCAAGATTCATAATAAACAACCCTGATTTCTGTTTAGAAGGAGCCACCATCTTCCTTTCCATTCTGTATTTGCATCCACTTGCAGAATTGCCACTATATATGACATAAGCAATGTCTGGTCTCACTGCAGACAAATTACAGAGAATAAACCATCACTGTCTTTATCAGAGGCTTTTGGGATGAGTAAATGAAAGTATGTCTCTGTAGTGCTCAGCACCAGAAGCTCTGGGAAAGTGGTGGCTCCATCATACCGTTGTGGTTGGCAGGATGGGAAAGAAACCACCCTGAGAATTAAGGTTCCAGGCTCGATTTGCCCATAATGTCCTCATGGAAAGTTAAAAAAAAAGTTGAATCTCAGCTTACTTGTCTTTCAAATGGGAATAATAATTCCTGGCCTCCCAATTTCATCAAGCTGTTTTGAGAATCTAATGAGACTAGAGCATGGAAATGCTTCAGAAAGCATATGCCTCTATATAGATAGGAGGGGTTTTGAGGCACCAGTCTAACCCCGAAACCAAAGACAACTTCTGAGGCATGAGCTCAGCCCTAGGGCTTCACTTCCCACCATGTACTGTCGTGGTGGGAAACCCCATATTACCAGCCCACCCCCAAAGTGGTGTTCCGCCCTAGGTAATGCCTCTCACCACCAGACCACCGCCTACTCATCTCTGTCACTCCAGCTGTCACCCACTAGAAGGGCCGGCTGCTGTGCTGGTTGGCCACCCGTGGCTTGCAAGCCTTACCCTTCTCACCAACCCCATTGCTAACAAGGTTATTAGGAAGAAGATAATCAGGGCCAAGCCTGAAAAGTGTTTTACAGAAGATGCCACCCAAAGCATGAAGACATCGGAGGGGCCCAAGGAGGCGTAACAGGGCCACTCTGTGGTTTCCCCATCACCACCTTATCTGAGCAGGCATGGGCCAACCTGAGGTCACCTTCCTACCGTCCTTGTAGGCACGGATACCAGCTGTCCCTCCTCCTGGGGCTGGAGGATGCTCACCTTTGCACCAGAGCCGCGAACCCAGGAGAGAAGGGCAAATGCTCAGAAAGGGACTCACACAGTAGATACACATGGCAGCCAGTCTCTTGGATGTTAGAACTGGGCCGGTTACCATGTGGTAGATGAACTCAGAAGAATGCTGTAGTCCCTGTTTCTCCCTACTGGGAGAGCTGAGCAAGCTTTCTGGAGCATATGGGTGACAACCATGACCTTGAAGCACATAAGCTAGAGGTACCATGGAGCCAGGCTGGGGAACTGGATCTTTCTAGGTTGAGGCCTTCGCTTCATGACACAGCAGTATGATTGGCTCTGCCATGGTGCCTGTAGCTCTAACCTTGCAGATTCTATGTAGTGACTAATGGGTTAAAAGACCCAAGGTACCAAACAGATTACCAGCCCCAGGAATTAAAGTGGCTGCATTTTCTCATATTCTTTTTCATTCCCAAGTCAGAAGATTCACTTAAATATGCATGCTTCTACAATTTTTGAAATGCTTCTACACAAGTCTTTTTATTCAACCCTAAGTAAACTGTGCCCTCTAGAAGGGTGTTTTGATAAGAATGCCTACATACTCAAGTTCAACCTACACTTTCCCAACCATTTTGAAAGCTGAGAATAATCTGGAGACTTGTTTTGGAACAAGTTTCCAGAAAGTTGCCTTGCTGGGGTATCCTGCAAGCTGCAATGAGTAGGCATAGTGGTCGCTATTGGGAGAGAGGTCCTCAGTGCCTGTGTTTCAGCCACACTCCTTCCCTGCACCCACCTCTGTCTGGAGTTCTTTGTAGAATTACAGAGCTAAGGGTATCCACCCTCCTTTTTCTGGGCAACACCATGCTTAATCCTTCTCTGACTGATAAGAGGGGAAAATAATGTGGCATGGGAACATCACTTCACAAGCCCTTCCTTGGCCATGAAAACAGCTCAAGATTTATTTCCCCTCTCAGTCAAACATCCATCATTGGCCTCCTACATAATTTATGTAAATGAAGACCAAACTTGTAGAGGAAAGCCTGAATTCAGTATCACTTTGCAATCATGTAGATTTTTGTATTTTGCCCTGTGCTTTCAATCAATCTTATAAGGTTAAGCTGAGAATCTAAGCCTCCTGGAAGAACAAGAAGGTCAAGTGACTAGCTTGAAATCACTCAGAAAAGTTAGCACCAGATTTTGGATAGAATGCAAATATCCTGGTTGGTCTTCTATGTCACCTTCTGCTGTAACAATGTCAGTGCCCCATAAAAATTACTTTTCTGAAAGTTCTGCAATTTCTTGACTTTAAGTGGGAGCCCCCTTGTGCCCTGAAATTATTATTTAGTTCATAAAAATGCACACCATTCATTCTACAGGAGGCTAATGGCATCCTTCTCCACAGGGTCATCACATGCATTTAGCCTCAGTGGGTCTGAATAAATGTTGTCAAAGGGGAATTAAAAGAGAAAGAGAGACAAAGAGGTCATAGGTTGGGAAAGTGACCTTGTCAAAGACACAATATACCAGACTATCAAGAAGAGAATGATTAGACCTTGGCTCTTACACCAGGGAGAAGATTCATTGATGAGGATCACCATAGAGACAGGGGCTTCACAGAGGCAGGTAAAGGCAAGATTCATCAGTGAGTCTTACTAGACTTGGGTCTTTCCTCAGAATAGGCAAAAGCATGGCGAGCCTTTGTGACCAGAATACAAAAGGGTGGGGAGATCTAGTAGTGTTAGCTTTGTTCCCAAGAACACAGGGCTTAGTGAAATTAACATTATCCCCACTAAAAGGAAACTGAGATTTCACACACCATCCCAGCCAGTGATCCACACACCTTCCCACCCAGTGAACCGAGCTGCAACCTGAGTGTGAGGTGGGAGACCTGAGGCTGTGGTACTCAGTCACCCCAATTGTTTTGTCTCCCCTAGTCTGCAATTTGCTCTTCTCACTCTGCTTTTATTGTCAAAAATAGGTGTATTTTCTACACAGCCCTAAATGCAAGGCAGGAACTTCATCCGGTGCTCAAAGAAAGAAATGGCGAACATGGTCCTGGAGGACAGTCTGTCCGTGCCGACTCTGCAGAGTTGGTAGTTATGCTCAACTGAGTACAACTCACTTTCACTGAACCTGCCGATTTAGAGCTTCGCTTTATGTAGTTGTAGCTTTCCTCCATTTCGCCCACAGAAGAGGAAGCTGGGAATGAAGACGCAGGTCCACAGGGTGGGAGTTGTGGTGGGTCCTGACTTGCCCATTTCTTGAACAGATCCTGCAGGAGCTGGAGTACGGCCCCTCAGTGGACTGGTGGGCGCTGGGGGTGCTGATGTATGAGATGATGGCTGGGCAACCCCCCTTTGAGGCTGACAATGAAGACGACCTGTTCGAGTCCATCCTCCATGATGACGTGCTCTACCCAGTCTGGCTCAGCAAGGAGGCCGTCAGCATCCTGAAAGCTGTGAGTCTCCCAGCAGAGCCCTTGTCCTGCTCACCTGGCCTCCCCAACACCACTCTTTTCTCACTCTGTCCTGTCTCTCTTCCTCCAGACCTCACACCTCCTTCTGGCCTTTCTCTCTCCAGTTCTCTCTGCCCCACCTCTGCTCACCTCAGGGCACTCACTGCATGACTTCAGGTTCAGTTCCGAGGGTGGCTGCCCGGAGAATGGGGCTGAATGAATAGCTCTTCTTGTGGGAAGAGGCAGCACCTTTGTGTATCCTGGGGGTTGAGGGATGGAGCTCTGTGCCTTCCAGCCTTTCAGAGGGAGCAGAACAACTCACATGGCCCTGGCCACAGAGAGGGCAGCATTTTGACTGGTTCTTAGAAGAGGCATCAGGGCTGGAAAAGGGCTTTTGACCAGGGAGATAAAGGATGCAAAAGGCCAGTGAGGTAGTCAGTAGATGATTTTGAACCGTGGGCACTAGAAAGCCATCAGAGATGCTAGATGAGAGAGAAGCATGTCGGCACCATTCCTAACTCATACCTACCCCGCCTTTCCCCCCTTAACCCTCTTCTCTGTGACTGTCACCCTTCCAGTAGCATCTAGTCTTTGTCCAGGTGCTTTGGCTTTAACAACACCAGGCAAGAGACAGAGGTGGTCCACCCAGCCCAAGAAAATCTCCCTTGCTGATGAAACCTGAAATTTTAAATTTTACTATTATAGATTCATTCCTTTAGATTTTCATTTGTCCTTTAAAGTTTCTTTGTTTCAATACAGACTCTTAGCCTTCACCCTTTGAAATGTAACACTTCCTCTAGTACACATACACACCTGCACACACACCACACACACACACACACACCACTATCTTTATTTGGGGTGACTATCATTTTCCCACCTGTTAGCACTGATTTGTTTTCAAGGTTATCTTGGTCTACATCTACTCAATTAACTTATCATTTACCATCAGGACTAACTTGTGAAATAGAATTAGTAAGTTCGCCTGGGAGTGTGTGGTCACAAGACAGAAGTCAAAAATATAGAACACAGCAATATGGCTTTTACAGACAACCACTATGAATCAATGTGTTTCTTTTTCTTGTTTTTATCTGTTGACTTACCTGGGTAGTTTATGCTAGAGATTGCAGGCTTTTGTTTTAAGAAATGAGTAACACCTTAACCTAAACCTGAATACCTGGTCCTGCCTTACCTCAAAATGGACTCAGTGTAAATGAGTTTATCAGACTTCAGTCTCCCCAATGAGTAGGTGGTGAATACAAAGGAGATTGTGGGAAGAAGTTCGTAAGACCCTGAGTTTCTAATCCCAACGTGGTACCTTGCTGGCTGTTCAGCCTCAGTTGAGTTAATTTACCTCTCTGTGCCTCAACTACTTGACTTATAAAATGTGGACAGTCATAGTACAATAGAGGCTGCCTTGAGATGAAATGAGTCTATGCACTGTGGTTAGCATGGTGAAAAGTACCCAAGCTGGGCAGGTTTAGAAGACCTAAGCGTGCAGAAGGCAGCCTGGGGTCAGCTGATGACATTGCTTGGGCTCACTTCCCTCTTTCCCTGTGGCCTGTGCCTACCCGACCTTTGTGACTCATATCTGTGTCCTCTTCCCCACAGTTCATGACCAAGAACCCTCACAAGCGCCTGGGCTGTGTGGCTGCACAGAATGGGGAGGACGCCATCAAGCAGCACCCTTTCTTCAAAGAGATCGACTGGGTGCTCCTAGAGCAGAAAAAGATCAAGCCACCCTTCAAACCTCGAATTGTAAGTCATCCCAGAGCACATTCCACATGGTGGGTCGGACCAGGGGCTGTGCCCAAGGAGTGCCGTGAGGCACATTCTGCAACGAAATGGCAAGGGCAGGGGATCGCCATGAGCTCCCTGAGAGAATCCTTTAAACCCAAAGAGTTGACAGTCAAACGTGTGTCACCTAGAGAGGTGGCCAAGATAGTGACAAATATGGCACCTAGAAGAATTTGATTTTATTCTGACCTTGCTCCTTTATTGATTTTTTTTGTTTTAATAGAGATTTGTTTTGATAAAAAAATTTAAAGATGATACTAGCTTTCCATGTATGATAAATTAATGCTTTTTAAATGAGTTAAAGAAAAATGGTAACTAAGCTGTGGCCATTATGTGGAAGTAGCACAGAATGAGACGTGACAACATCGGTGGAAAAATGTCCTGTGGAAACCCAAGGGGGCTGAGTCCTTAGGCTACATCAGAGACCCCCTCACCCTATCTGCCTACTCCCCCTTCTAACTTCTCTCCAGCCTCAGCACACACGTCCTTCTAGGTTCTTCGCCCTATTTGGTGGTGCCAGTCGGAGGTGGTTTGAAGCTCAGAATTTGGGAAGAGGGCTGAGGCCCTCAGACTTAGATCCGACTCACAGAGCAAAGCCAAGTCTTGCAGTGACCTCCTGCCAGAACAAGGAAGGATGCTTCAAGATGGAGAGTATGCGCACACGTTGTGTGTGTTTGTGCGTGCGTGTGTGTGTGTGTTGTACATACACACGCACACGGGCAGGATGTCTTCAGTCTGTTGCCTTTGACCTCAGTGAGGCAAGCATTCAGATGGAAAATTTGGGTAGTCAGCCTGCTGGCCTACCAGGAGTTGAGGGCGTATGTAATATAGGAATGTATTGGGCAGGAGCTCTGGAGTAATGGGGTCCCAGGCAAGGAAGACCTGAGTTTATCCGTTCATCCCCTAAGCACCCACATTTGGCAGAAAACTTCTCCTCCCTGCTTCCAAACCCAAAGAACTTCCCTTGCTTTGTGACTCGTCAGAGAGGAGTTCCATTACATGCCAGGAGGCTTTCTGGGGAGCCACTATTGGTGGGGCTGTGATCCTCAGAAAGTGCTGTGTGGGTAACTCAGCTGAAGCTTGTGTCCCAGGCTTCAGCCAGACTATAGCGGGGCAGGTTGACCATCACTGGCCACTGCCCTGTCACCATTCCTCACTTGCCTCCCCCTTGAATCTTATGAATTTTCTTGGCTAGCACATAACTCAGAAGAGGCTAGCGTCAGGTTCATGTGCTCTGATAGTGGCACCTCCTCTCCTGCCCACCTCCACCCCCCTTCTGGGTGTGCTGTGTCATCCATGCTGCGGACAGGCTCAGGACACCTTCCCAGCCTTTCAGTCTGCTGAAAGGCTGGGAACTATCTCTGCAGGTGGTTTTTAGGGACAAGATCAACTGTGCTCTAGACTAAAGTTGGGGGCATAGGCAATCAGAGGCTGTGCAGAAGAGGAGAAGAAACTAAAGCCTTAGGTTTGGGGGTGAGATTTTAATTTAGGTATCTTCTGAGCTAATCAACCCAAAGAAAATTGACAGTAGAACTAAGTGTCCAGGCCCAATGAGCAGAAATGCAGAACAAGAGGCCAGTTGACCAACATAGGTCAATATAATGGCTTAAATTTACATCTTGACTCCAGGCCAAGAAACATGAGGTAAAACTAATCTATTGGGTTCTGGGGCAAGGCTGGACGAACAGGCCCCTTGGGTGTGGTAAGGGTGGGGAAGAGAGGACAGGCCCCAAGGGCCCTGTCGGTGAGGGACACTGGGACAGAGAGGTCCTGGCATGGATCAGAGGACGCAGTCCACTTTGAAGCAGGGGGCTAGGGGAGGTTTTTGAAAAAGGCACAAAGGAAGATTTAAATTTGGATAACATGGAGAAGAGTCAGTGGCTTAGGAGAGGCAGCAGAACTTTATTCAAAGTGAGCAGAGGAGATTGCTCTGAGGTGCCAGGGCCCCAAGAAGCTCTAGTCTCTAGAAGCCTTTTCCAGAACTCCAGCAAGAACAAATTCCTGAGTGGGGCCCCTTCCAGCTGAGCTCAGAGCCAGGTGGATAGGCAGCCCTGAGAGCAGCACCCCTTCCCAGGCAGGAGGGGTAGGTGGGGGGGGAGTAAGTGTGACTTTCCCTGGGCCTAAGGAATGTGAGGGAACCTGATGCAAAGAATGGGAGAAAGTGTGAGGAACTATTCTGGAGACCAAGCACAGGACCCAGTCTGGGGAGGAGCAGGCCTCACCTGATGAAGACAGGCAGAGAGCCCTGTAAAGTTGCTGTCAGGCCAAAGGTGCACCCATGTGCAGGGAGGTTGTGACAGGCCCGAGAAACAACAGTAGAAGCTTGTGTGTGTGGGGGGGGGGGGGGAGGGGGGGGGCAGTGCCCCTTCTTGGCCTCTCAAGAGCATGGTACCTGGAACAGAGAGCAGGAAGCTGCTTGCTTTCTTTGCTGAGGGGCTTGAGTAGGCTTCCAGGGGCCTTACCACCTCAGAAATGATGGCAAAGTGAAAGCTCAGGAGCCCTCCAGGAAGTCCTCCCAACTTTAAAACTGCCTCCCACTTCCTGAAGACTAACTGCCATTGTCTTGGAAATGAGCTTCTGTTAAAGTCCCTATTCACAGACCTCCAGAGTTCTTCTAAGGCCGGGACTTTTAGAGGTGCAGGGGAGAGGATGCTTATAAGCTGGTTTGTGAAGGGGACAATTAGGATAGCTGAAGGAAGGTAAAATAGAGATGTGTCTGGTTCCATTTTGAGCTAAATAATGTTGATCCTTAGGAGTTCTCAGTTATGGATCTTTAAAGACTCTTCCAGTTAGTAAAATTTCTGATCACATTTACACTCTTGAGACTAAGCTTTCTCTCTGGAGAAATATCAAAATTGGGAGAGAAAAGAACAGTCTCTCTTTAGTTAGCCCATTGGAAAGGGGCCCCAAACCACCCCTCAGCTGAAGGCTCTGCCCAGCCTTGAAAGCTGTTACTGGCACCAGACAGAGCCATACCCAGGCTTGTGTATGGCAGATAGAAAGTTGAATTAAGGCCCACCAGAGTAAACATACTGTATTTTTCATCTCTAAAAGCTTTATAGGAACGATGTGAAAATATGTGAGGTTTTTATAAACCATTGCCCTCTCTGGCAACTCACAGTTTACCTGGGAGTGTGGTACCTGACTGGCTCAGGTACCAGAGCAAGACAACTCTGTGCCCCTTAAGTAGCATCACCTACAGGCAAAATAGATGCCACCCCTAAGTGGTCAGTGGGGGTGCACAGGAGAGCTGAGGCCTGACCCCTCAAGACCTCAGTCATCTCTACTCATGGGGCAGGAGGCGCATCTCAAGACAGGTCTTCCTTAAGTGTCAAGAGACTTGAGGACACATTATCTGCCTTCTGAGAGCTGCGAAGGATGCGTTTTTGACAGAGAGAAGAAAAGAAGTTGAATTTTGGGAAGCAATGGCCAGAATCATTGGTCTCAGGCAGGCAGGGTTAGTGTGAGGATCTTAAGTCATAGGAACAGACTTGAAGTGAAAGACATTATGAAAAGGGAGGAAATAAGTGCAGGAGCAAGTCTCAACCAGCCTCGCAACTGGCGGTGACCTCAAGGAAACAGGCATGTGTTTTGGCAGGTGGGCAACCCGACCAATAGATCTCACCTGGCTGCATGTCGCATGGCCTTTGGTCAAGGGCCTGGGGCCCTTGGTCTCCTCAATCTTGTTCTAACCTACTTAATCTCTAGCCACACCCCAAGGCCATGCTAGAATAGTGCCAATCCCTGAAACCTGGCGAGAGCTACCAGCCCGACCTCTGCCAGGAGAGCTGAATCTGAGGGCACCAGCCGGCCTGGCTGGCTGATACAGGAAGAAATTGGTTTTGCCTAGTGGCAGGTACTGCAGGTGGGACTTGGCACAGCCCTGTCACCCAGCATAGGGCTTAAGAAGAGCCGAGATGTAGTGGCATATTTTCAGAGCCCCTGAGCAGCCCCACTTGCGGAAATAGAACCAGCCGACAGGCACAGCAAGCCTGACTCTGTCGGGGTGGCTCAGCTGGAGGCCGGGGTCCCTGGATCATGTCCAAGGGCTAAGGATACAGCAAGGAGAACAGCTCCCGGGCCTGATTTCTATCCCCTCTGCAGAAGACTCACCCCTCTGAAGATGTCGCCAAGGAGATTGTCCAGATTGCTAGCTGGAATTTTGCCTCTGGTCAGGTTCCATCACATGCCTCGACTGGCCGCTGTCACCTCTGGGCCTTTGCCTTCTTGAGATGTTTGCTGAGCTGAGATTTCTGCTCCTCTGGCCCCCTTGCCGCCCTGCCTAACCCCGCCCTGACTCACCAGCTGTCCTTAGTCCCACTGGGTTTCCTGCGTCAGCCCCTTTGCCCTAACCCCACCCCAGGATCTGATTCAGTGGCCTCTGCTCTGGCGTGAGGACTCCCTTCTCATCTGTCCTCCTGTGCTCATGTGTCCCCCCTCTTCCACCTCCTCTTTACACCCGTCCTGTCCACCCACTGTGCACCCACAGGCTAAACTGATTTTGCGCAAATGATGTGCCATCAGCTCCAGACCAAAGGCTTTGTGCCATCATGTACCCAAATCAGCTCCTGGGGGAGGCTTGTTTCTGAGCAGGGCACACAGAGGTGGGGGGGTGGCAGGTACCCCACAGTGGTGAGTGGGGAGATGGAAAAGCCAGCAGACAAACATCTCCAAGCATAAAATTCGCTAGTCTGGCCCCCTGGGGATTTAATTCCAAGATGGTGACATCATCTGGAGACCAAGGAAAGTAACCCTCTTAGCTTCAGTGCTCTGTGAGACCGGCCTTCTTTGGGGACGCTATGGGCCAAAGAACATCATCTGACCTTGAGATCCTGGAGGCATTTGGCTTACTCCTGCCCCTCCCACGTGCCCCTCCCTTCCCCTCCAAAGGCATTAGGCGCAGAGATTAGACTCCCAGGGCTTCCGGACTCGAGTGGGGGGAAGCCAGTGGAGGAGGGAGA